ATGAAAAAGAGATTTGATTTTTTCTGTATGGATGAACTGATTGCTTGTGGAATATGAATAAGACTGAAAATGAAGATAAATTGGTCCCGAAAAAATGAGAAAAAAATCTGATGTTTTTTAGATCCGTAATTTTGCTCCATGGTTGCGCTCATAATCCTACTGGAATGGATCCCACGAAGGATCAATGGAAACAAATCTGTGAAGTTATCAAGGTAAGTATAAATCCATGTTTTTGACCTACTCTGGTAAAAATGAGGAGAAAGGGGGGGGGTACAAAAGAAAAATAATTTTTTCCTCTCCAGTTTTTCGATTATCTCGCTTTACAGAATCGAACCTGTTTTTTTATCAATGGTCCTTTCGATTTGAGGGGAATATTCGATGCTTTTTGTTTTAGAAGAAGAATCACTTCACATTTTTCGACATTGCCTACCAAGGTTTCGCTTCGGGAAGCCCAGACGATGATGCATGGGCGGTTCGATACTTCGTAGAACAGGGCCTGGAAATGATGGTTGCACAATCGTTTGCAAAGAACTTCGGGTTGTACAGTAGGTTACAGTACCCCCTACAGTATACCCTTACAATAATCTCAAGCTCTGGATTCGTAAAATACTCACAGCTTTATATAAAAATTCGGCTTAAAAATTCCCTAGAAAAAATAATAAAAAGTGCTAATCTATGTTTTTGTTTTAGATGAACGTGTAGGTAACCTTTGTGTGGTGTTCAAAGATCCCAAAGTCATGGAAGGATTCAGATCTCAGATGCAGTTGGTTGTCCGAGCGAATTGGTAAAGATTCTAGTTCTTCATCAAATAATTCCGGCAAAATATTTCCAAAAATATTTCCAGGTCAAATCCTCCAGCTCATGGAGCTCGTATTGTCCACATGGTCCTTACCAATCCAGAAATGCGCAAGCAATGGGATGATGCCATTAAGGTTAGTTTTACCCCATAAAATTCAAGCTCGTGGTCTCCCTTTTTCTGAAATAATGAGAAATTGCGATTTTTTCAGACTATGTCCTCCAGAATCAAGGAAATGCGAGCAGCCCTTCGGCAACATTTAGAACAAATGAAAACGCCAGGCACATGGAGTCACATTACACAACAGATTGGAATGTTCAGCTATACTGGTCTCAATCGTAAGTGATCAATT